GATACGAAATTAATCCGTTCCGAAACTGAGATCGTATCATGAAAATGTCGTAAGGTGAATCATTTTTTTTCATACGATTACATGTAAAACCAAATAATTCGTTCCAACACGAAAAACACACTCAAATTAAAGCTAAGTTGTACATTAAAAAATAACTATAGCAAGGAAAACACTGAAAAATGCATTTTGTAGTTGTAAATGTATAAATAACCATAATAGAATAATAATTGATTTTAAAAAATGTAGCTATATTTGCACTTTACCTTTGAGGATAGACGACAGTGGAGGTGTAAACTGGTGGCGGAGGAGAGGGAGAAGGGAAATGATACTAAAACTTAACTTACATAACATAATGTAACAATAACTTAAAAATAACTTAACACTAATTTTTTTTTTTTTTTAATATTTTATTCACTGTTTTTTGCTTTCTTTCCTTCACTTCCACCAGCACTTTCACTGGATAGAGGTTACTTGGTAAAATATCTATCCAAAGAGGTTTGGCTTTGCCTACTTTTTAAAATGTTTCTAAAATGACTTAGGCAAATGTCATTAAACTGAGCAGCAATAGCAATACAGCCAGTGTGAACCTTTACGGGATGTTTCTTTTCAATAAAATCAGTCACTTTCTGATAATACCTCAAGATTTCCTTTATTGAGCAAGATCCTTCCACAATGAAGCAAACACACAGACTGAGACTGATGAGCAGAAGGAACACGTGATCATGGCGGTGGCGCTGCGAACTAATGTAACTTCATATGGTGAGTTTTTGTTCGTATCATGGAGCAAAAATATGTTCGAATTTCATGTCGTATCCTGAAAATTTTGTATGCTGAAGCATTCGTATCCTAGGTATTACTGTATATAGTTTTGATAATGAGTATACATTATCATTAGTTCATATCACTTTGAATTAAATATCATAAAAACAGGAACACACTGTATATAATATATGATAAAAATAAACTAAATGGAAAATATATATATATATATATATATATACCAAGCGTTGCAGTTCAACATTGCTAATTCGTCCAGCTTCTTTTCTAAGTTGTTCTATTTTTCCTGGTGCCAGATTTAAATAAGACTGAAGATAATGTGGCATCAATAAGAATCTAAGAATTACTATTCCAATGAGCATCATTAGTCGTACAGTTTCAAATACATCAGGTCTCATCCTAAATAAAAATTTTTTAAGTTAAATAACTTCAAATACAAATATGTAAAATGAACACAAAATGTCATATTATTCAATGATGATATCTTGAAACTAATAATTAAATCATCAATTTTAAAACTAAACATTTTAATATATAATTTCTGTAACAAGTATACCAATACTGAATTAAAATATATATTCCATCTAAATGTTTTCATTATGTCAGATGCAGTTTGAAAAACAGAATTTTGTATTCTTTAAATAGAGCACTACTGCACTCCATGATATAGAATTACCTTTAATGTGCTGCACAAGTTTAAATCTTTGAAATATACTAACAAGTAAGTTAACAGGCAATTTTTGGTGATTAAAATTTATTCTGTAGATTAGAAAGAAATAAGATGGCTGACCAGTTCCAATTCCAACAGGGATAACCATTATTTAGAATATTTAAAGGAAGTTTATCCTAATATTGGTAGAATATTTTTAAAATCAGATCAGATCTTATAACATTGTATAACAACAGTAAATTTTAAGAATCACCTTTAATTTAAAAGGCTATAGTTTTATATTAATTGTCAAAGTTAAGTAAATCATACTTTATATTTAAATAATTAATAATTTTACAATATAAAGTACTTATACAGTGGTACCTCGCTTAACAAGCACCTCACATAATGAGTGTTTCGTATAACAAGCATATCAATTTTTTAAAAAATGACTAGCTTAATGAGTGAAATTTTGCATAATGAGTGACAAGGAGAGGGGAAGTCCAGGATTGTGTGTTTGCTCCATCATGCTATTATCTGTGATTTTTTTTTGTTTTCTGCAAATCAAATTCACATTCCAGGATAGTTCATTCCACGCTAGAAGAAATGATGATGATGATGATTCACGTTCTTTAACAATGTATATTGTATAATTTTCTTTGAATAAACATTATATGTAAAATATTCTATTTACTCGCATATAAGACAATCTCACATATAGAATGAGGTCTGACTTGAAAGACCAACATAAAGAAAATTAGATTTATTAATGCATTCTAATTTTATTTCATTTAATAACAAATAAATTATCATCAAATGCAAGTATTAAGGCAAATAACTATGCTTTCTTGACGCTATCACCTTTTGTCTACTCGAACTTGCCCTCTGAAGCTTCATTACTCCTCTGATCCGTCGAGTGAATTTAAAATGCAATATTTCTTGAATGACTGCTATCAGCTTTTGGAGATTGCTTTTCCACGCATCTGATATCCATGTAGCAAAACCAAAAGATTATAATGCACATGACAGGAAAAAGTTCATTTTTAATGATTCAGAATGTGCAAATATTCATTAAAAATACCAATTTAACAAATATGAAATAACTACATTTATAATCATTGCTAAGTGACCAGCTATTTTCAGATCATCTCTTTAAAAGCGACATTCATCTTGACCTCAATAGCACACTGCTATAATGGCAGCACGAAGTATACGCAGTTCACAAAAATTATTGCAAAAACACAAAGGATTTTTTTCTTGTGCATATAGGACAACCTAGGTTGAAGCAGTGAAAAATAAATAAAAACCTTGTCTTATATGCAAGTAAATATAGTATTTGAGTACTTTTTTTTGGCATTGAATGCATTATCATATTTTACATTAATTTCTATGAGAAAAATTGTTTCGCATTACGAGTAAGGTTCTAGAACAAATTATGCTTGTTAAGCAAGGTTCCACTGTATTAATTAAAATAGTGTAGATAGAATCCATCAAATCTCCTAACATATACAGGGTGGACCAAAAGTCTCTTAATATGTGAAATGCCTGCTGCTTCTGCGTGGGTACTGGTATCGGGGTGGGGAAGGTACCAGACACAAGAGCGGCCAATAGGGATTTAGTGTCAACGTGCGCTTTGTGTTCGTGAGTACTATCAAAACAACGATTCTGTGACCAAAGCTAGACAGAAATTTTGTTCTCATTACAATATATGAAATGCAAATCAAGCTCCAACAATTCAAACAATTAAAAATTGGGTGCAGAAGTTCAAGACGACGGGTTCAACATTAATCCAGCCATGATTCAGCCAACCCAGGACATTGAGAGAGCCGGAAAACATAGTGAGTGTACGAGTGTCTGTTCAAGAGCAACCTAGCCTGTCCACTTGAAAGCGGTCTAGTGTCTTAAATGTTCCCAGAACATCTCTAAATCACATTCTACACAAGGACCTACATTTACACCCGTACAAAATTCAAATTGTACAGGAATTGAAGCTAGGAATTGGCCAAAAACTGATATCCAAAAGAGGTGACATTAACTGGCCACCCCACAGCCTGGATTTGTCCCCAATGGACTGTTTTCTTTGGGGATATCTTAAAAGTAAAGTTTACATCAGCAACCCAGAGTCTATTGAAGAATTAAAAGAAAACATATGTAATGAAATGCAAAACATTTCACCAACCACTTGTTGGGTGGTCATGGAAAATTTCCGGTCCAGGTTACAGGAGTGTAAAAATAAACAAGGCTCACACTTATGTGATGTTATATTCAAAAAATAAAACCCTAATTTGTATACTTTAAACTACAACAAACAGTTGTTGATTGGCACAGCATGTTTATTTTTTATGATCATTTGAAATGTTAAAGGACTTTTGGTCCAGCCTGTATTTTTGTATATTCTTCAATCTGTCCCATATGTTTGCTTATAAAATGTTTTTTGCTCCATCTTGTTTATTGTTACTCTTGGTAATGCAATTGTGCAGTATGAATTTTTAACTAACTGGTCAATAGCTATCTGATGAGTCAAAGAAACCTATGCAATAAACATAGCCTATTGCAGAGATGGCACCTAATGCCTCCCTCTAGTAACAAATTAATCAGAAATTAACCAAATATAGCCTATTATTCAATGAATGTAGTGACAATGTGAGTTGACATCAATACAAGAAATATGCTACTAGAAATGGAACAAAAAAAATACGAAGCTGATTGGTGACAATGCTGATGAATTGTTCACTAAATTGTGATTTACAAATTCAGCAGTGAGCTGGAGTTTAAGCAGAGACCATGCAATGGAAGCATAAAGCCACAAAAGTTGTCTGTGCAATACTTTGCCAGCAAGATCATATGCACTGTTTTAAGATAGAGGAATTTCTTATCTTGGAATTCATATTGCACTAGACAAGTATTACTAAAGAGACCTACGTTTTTATTATGAGGGCTTTATGATAGACAATTAAGGAAAAATATCATGGAAAACTGACTTTAAGCATGCTACTCTTCTATGATGATGTACCTGTTCAAACCTTGTAGAAAGCTCTGACTATTGTTGTGGATTATGATTTCAAATAGCTTAATCATTTCCATGTAGCCCAAACGTGGCTCTCAGTTTTGAAGCTTGAAGAAATTCCTTTATGGACATGATTTTCCTGTGATGATGACCTCAGACTTTGATAGAGTGAATTTTTGACCAAATCTATTCTATTTTGATAGACTAAAATCACTAAAAATATATCTGAAAATAAAATCTATTCATAGAAAAATCTTTTTAAAAAATATTGATCATTTATGTTATGGAAATTGCATATTTTCTGATTACATCTGCTATAAGATCTATTCTGAAATGTTTATTTAGAATTATTTCAAAAAACTGTAAAGATATAATTATGAAATTATGAAGATATTAAGAATACAGTAGAATACCAATTATCAAAACTTTGCTTAACCATAATCTGGGTTAACATGATATGTATTTTTTCTTTTTTCTATTGCTGCACTTATTTTGCAATAGTATTTAATTTTTAACATATCACGAAAGGCTATTTAATAATAAATGTACCATCACAACCCAGATTTTTGAAAAATGGTCACAATTATGCAACATTTTTATCTGCTAATGTTATGAGCTTAGTACAGTGAATAGCTCAAAATCTTCTGGAATGTATGAAACAGAATTATCACCAAATACAAACAAAGATATCAGATTACTTTAAATGTATAACTTTCAACTTAATATACATACAGTACTGTAATTATAGTAAACATGTTTTGAGATATACAGTACATGTTGTTTCATTGCACTTTTACACTGAAATTCAATTCCCAAATTATCTGAAAAGTCATTTATACGAAATAAGATAATTATCTTTACTTCTTAAGGTTCTACTGTAACTAGAGAATATGATCATAACTATATTAATGATCAATGATGTTATAACAGATGTTGATCTGTAATGCTGTTCAAATGTTCATTTGAAAATCTTTATTAATATCTTATAATATGGTTTTTTTTTTTTTTATGACATTTTGTGTACATCCAATTTATATATAAAAACAAATGTAATCTTACAAGACACCATTCATTCCTGGCCATGTTCGTTGAGTAAAATAGTCTCGAGCTAAGGGCTTTACCCACATGATTAATATTAATAATGGTGATAAGAAGCTTAAATGAAGAAAGAGTCTGTAAAAGAATAATAATAAATTTATTCTATTCAATATTTTATATTTTATACTAAATTATTAAAAAATATATTTAATTATAAAGAAAATATAAAACAGTTTTCTAACAGAACATTTTTTTAGTTTAATTTTCTATTTTATTTAAATTTATTTTTTAGAAACATTTATTTATTAATTTTAAGATCATTTTTATATTTTATATCCTAATGAAGTTAAAGAGAATTATAAACCAAATTTTAAAAATTTATGCCTACTTTGTGAATGGTCGTTCATCACAATATTTAAGACAATCACGATGCATTCTAGCAAATCGTAAACCAGGAAAAGTAAAAAATGTTCCCATTAATCCACTCCAGACAGCAAGACTTAATTTAAACATTAATTGTGATGCAGGTCCACTAAATAATAAAAATAAAATTGAATAATTATTCGTAATTAAAAATATTAAAGTTTAATATAATAATTATACAATACAAAATTATTTATTTGCAAAAGGAAATTTTCCCTGTTGCTGGGAGAAATACATAATTAGATTAGTAAATTACATAATATAATAATTATAATAAAACACTTAAAAAAGAAAAACTGTTTCATAAGAGAATAAGTTTAATTAAATTGTATTTTGTTATTTTTAAATCACATGACAAAACCTTATTCTAGTAACAGCAAAAACTTGATATAAACTCCAAATAAATTAAATGCTGTCTATTATGAAATATTTTTTAAATATTAAAACAATTCATTTAAAAATTTAATTTTAAACATATTTTTATAATTTCCAATGAAATTTATATAAAACTCAAATATTGTTATTTATTTATTATTAAAAACTTTTATATATATTAGTTGTATTAAAAATTACCTAGAATTCAATCCCTGATTTTGTAAAAAGTGAAAGGCACTTGAATTAAAGCTTGAATATGCTGCAATGTGATAAAATTTCATTATTTTTATAATTAATTTTATAAAAAATAAAATACAGTAGACTCTACTTATTGTGATCACAGAAATTTTCATTAGTCATTTAATGTTATCAAAATTAGCAGGTCCTAAAACATACAAGTTAAAATATATTATGAAAACTTTGCTTATAATAATCAGAATTAAGCTATTGTTCTCATTATCTTTGGGTTAATAAACATTTTTAAACATTTCATGCTATCAGCCTCAATATGCAGTTAATAATTATGTGAATGTTAATCTTAACCAGTGCATTAAATGTTAATTGTTTAACTGTTACCTGCCCACAATACAGTAAATTATTGGCTTTTTGTTAATTATATGATAATTATTGTTACAGGCAATTGTAAGCAAATATTACAGGATAAATTACATATTAATAAATATTTAAGTTATGTAATTTTTAATTGTTTTATCATCTTTTAATATCAGAGTAAATATACCCCAAATTTCCACTAACTGTACCATATTTAATTATCCTGATTAATGTTATCAGTTTTGACAAATTTCAAGTGATTACATTAAGCAAATTCTTCTATATATGTATATTACTTACACATAAAATATTTACTAATTAATAAATATAACGTGTTAAATNCAAGGCTAGGTTGATTCCTCATTTCTGTTGAGGGCATTATTATTATTATTATTATTATTATTATTTTCTTTTAATGTCAATTACAGTGGGTGATTGGTTAACGAACAGTTTGGATAGCGAACAAATCGGATAACGAACACTTTCGGAAAAAATTTTTATGATCAGACAACGAACACATGTTCAGTTAATGAACACTTTACTGAACAAACATAAAAAGAAGTGACAGAAAATAACAAAAACCGATTGATTTTCCTGTGTCTTCGGGTAACAATTCAAAACCTTTCGGAGTGCAGGAGACGTCAACATCAACCCAATACCGATCGGATAGTATAATATTCCTCCAAATTTTGAAACTCTCCCTTGTAATTCCAGCTTTTTGTTTACCTTTCTTGACAAATAATTTTTTATAGTCTTCTTGAGACTGTTGGATGGGCACTTGTTAAGTTTTGTGTCGGAGGTTTATTTACAAAAGGTGAAAGTTTAACTGTCCCATCAGATATTTGTTAACGTTTTAATACCAAATTTCGAATTTCATCTGGGTCTCGCATTTAAATAATTTTTGTGGGCTAGTTGATTTCTGTTCTCTGAATTTTTGTAAGTGTTTTCTGAACTTTTTATTTAGAAAAGAAACTGATAATATTATGGAACCTAAAAAGAGGAATGTCAAGAACTGTGCTCACCATAGAAACCAAGCAAGAGATAAGAGCCAAGGTAGAAAGTGGGCACAAGATATCTAATATTGCTAGGCAGAATGGCTTGAACAGGTCTACAGTAGGCACAATCTTAGCTATGAAAGATATATCAAGAAGTCTCAATCTGCTAATGGAGTCATGAAAATCACATCTGAGAAATGAAGAGCATTTTAGAGCTCATAATGGAACCTGAAACTGATCTGACAACAGAAGAACTCCAAGAACTCTCAAATGTAGAATACCAAGAAACTCAGCAAGATGTGTTTTCTTTTGAAAAAGAGGAAAACAAAAGAGGACCAATGTTGACATCTACTACTAAAGATCTTTTGAAGAAGTAGGAGAATGTCAGAACAATGATCATCCAAGTGGCATCCAAACCAGAATAAGGTTAATGGAGTTGTCAATCTCTACAGTTACAATACTATTAATTACTTCTGAAAAATCCTGATGAAAAGAGAAAAACAATCGATATTCTTTGAACAGATTCTTTAACCCCCACAAGTGGAAAAAACATGACTAATAAAAAGGCAAGTCTACATATATATGTATTTTTACTATTACATATAAATAAACATAGTAAAAAAGTATATATTTTTTACTTTTTGGAGTCTCCGGAATGAATTAATCAAATTCCCATAAAAACCTATGGTAAATTGATAATCGGTTAATGAACAATTCGGATAACAAACAAAGTCTTGGAACAGATTATGCTCATTAACCAATCACGCACTGTATTTTAAATTTACTGTTAAATACATTTTATAAAACAGTAAAATTAGATGAGAATTCTATAAGCTAGAACTTCTAGATGATAATAATAAAACACTTTTCTCACTTTGTCTAGCAAGTTTTAATAAAATGAACTAGCATTTTCAGCTATTTTGAATAGCCTTTCTCAGCTTTAACATAATTTTGAACATCAATTAGAACAACAGGTTTAAAATACCATGATGTCATAAGAATATGAGCAAAGCTCAAAATTTTAAACTTTTTGTTCTAATTGACATTTGAAATTATGGTAAACCTGTGGAAGGCTATTCAAAATAGCTGAAAACACTAGTTCATTTTATTAAAACTTGCTGGATAAAGTGAGAAAGATATTTTTATTAAAACTGCACTCAGACTAGTTTGGTGGATGATGCAATGAGGCAGTTCTCAACTGACAAAATAAGCAGTCAAAAATGTTCAANGATTTTATTTTTTGAAAATATCTCTAATTTCAGCTTAATTCTTAAGTAAAATATAACCAAATACACAAATACAAAATACTACTTAATTAGTTCAATAACTTATCTATAGAAAAATGTAATTAAAATAATACATTACTTATACTTATGCTTTTAAAGTTTGGCTAAAGTTTTAAAAATATAACAGAAAATGGCTAGATGGCAAATATAATCAAGTCTGCTGCTTTGAGAACGTGGATTCAAATCCAGGTAAAATCCTAAAAATTTTATAAGCAGTTTGATTCTCAGTATGTCAGGACTGATGAATATTCAAAACAATCTTTTTAATGCCCATAAAGTGAAGAGTTTTATATATAAACATTAATATTTTTAAAATCTAAAGTCAAAGCTAATTTTTTGTTTTACTAATTTATAAAAATTACCTGGTTCTAATCCAAATTCAAGAATATTTTCATCTGTAATTAAAACTATCATTGCAAGTAAAAAGAAAAATCCTCCAGCTGATAAACATAGTGATCTCTCACCAATTGCTTCATCTCCTTTAAAATACAATGCAGTAAGTGACAGCAAAATTTTCCTAAAATAAGGTTAAAGAAAGAACAAAGAAAAAAAAAATACTATTCTATTATATACTATAATATTTATTTCATAGTCTAAGCTTATTCACATTATTTAATATTTAAAAATATGGCATATAAGTTATAAATTTTAAGAATTCGTCATCATAATTAGTTTTTATCTAAAAATAAAAATTACATAATCTGTAGTTTGAAAGATGTAATATATATTACAACATGATCAACCATTAAAAAACTAAGGACTTAAAATTCTAATATTTTTTAACTTATATTTTGTATTTAAACATGAAAACATAAAACAATTTTTCTTTTTCTATCATATTTTAATAAATTAATTAAAATTCAGGTGAGACATACTAAGTTTTGTTTAATGAATTATTAAATTACAATAGTAAATTTTGGTACTACAAATACTTCAAGACATGCAAAAGACATTTCCATAAAAACTTAATTAAATTAATACCAAAACTCTCCACTATGGTACTTTAGTATTACAGGTTGGATACACTTTGGCATATATTTTCTATTTATTCAAATGACTATACATTTTACTTCACAATGTTACAGTCAATTAATTTATTGGATATTTTTTGATGAATTTTTAACTTTTTTTCTAAATGTTGCAAATATCTGTAAGAATGGAAAGTAACAATACTTGACTGTAGTCAAGAACAAATTCATATTTTATGTTTTAATATTTTAAAATATAATTAGGTCAAGATAAACAACGTTAGAATTCTTATATAAATTTTTCTATTAACAGCTGTTATCTAGATACTAGGTACCAATCAAAATGATCTTACAATTTGTGCAAAGTGTCATTCTGTAGATGTTGATGTCTTAAAATATATTTAATGTCTAATTTTTGGAAAATATATTTAATAAATGTATCAGTGTCTGAAATTGGGAAATTTTTTCCAACCAATGTAATTCATGTACTTATTTATAAAGTTTTTACTTAATGTTTGGTGTTGACAAATTAAATCCTATTTTGCATATTTAATATGATTTTTTAGGAATAAAATGGGAAACCTATAGTTTTTCCAAATTAAATTCAAATATCAAAACAAAACAAATTTATCATTTATCAAAGTCAAGCATCATTACTTTTCATTCTCACAGTATTTTCAACATTTTAGAAAAAATAATTTTAAAAAAAATTTAGACTCCATCAAAAAATAGCAAATAAATTATGTATTTCTGAGAGCAAATAAATTAATTGAATGTAACATTGTGAATTAAAATGTAATAAAGGGGCTACCCATTGAATTAATAGAAAATATATACCAAAGTGTATACAAACAATACTATTTACTTTTGATGCTGCAAACAGTGAAAAAACAGTATAACAGTGATTGTGAAAAATGTCAAATGAGATCAATTATGGTGGGCTGTTAAAAACATTGTTCATTGCTTATAGTTTTACACCTTTAGGATGGGAATTATATTGCTAAGGTCACTGTATAGCACAAGCATCTTGTACAAATAAAGTATTTATTGCTTGCAGTGCCAAAACCACCATAGTAGTGAGTTTTGGTACTAATCTATATATATATAAAATGAATGTATCTCTGTCCGTGTGTGTCTGTCTGTATGTCCTTCATGCATTACCACACTGTTTATCCAATTGCCATGAAACTTTGGTAAGTTGTTTAATATACTCTCGCGAAGGTTTCTGGCATAGTACATTTATCCTACAATAGATGGCGCGCATTTATATGAGCATATCACTGTGTGTTTGATTGATTTTAAATTGTGAAGACCATTTCCCCCCTGCAAAAAATATTTCTATATATGCATTTGTGAACTGTTATTTACGATATTTGTAATAATTTTTGTTTAATCAATTTATTTCAATTTTTTTGCTAATTATGTATTCGCTTGAACTTCGTTAAAACCTTAACTGTACCCGAAACAACTACCGAAGTTGTAGGATGAAATTCGATTTTTTTTTACCGATTTTATTTTACCGATCTATGTATTCCCCCTTTTCCAAATTTTAATATCGACTCAAAATAATTTAAAAAGACAAATTACAATAAAACGGTTTATTATCCAACTATCAGAAATTTCACAACATTTCAAGGAAGAGAGGAAGGAGCAATTAAATAATTAAAATTATAAAGAATTAAAAAATATATATATATATAAATGGGGAATATCGCACTTCTGACAATCGCTGCAACTGTGTGGGCTAAATTTGGAAAATCTGTGCTTCTCGCATGGACAACTGTATGTGGCCAGCTCATGCGTCAGAAAACCTTCTGATATATTTGTATACGCACCAAATGAAAAAACAAAAAATATTGTGTATCCACAAGCACTCCAATAAATAAATAGAATTGAAACAACACTTTGAAATGTTTTCCCGATGAAAATGAATAATAATAATCATAATAAGTTTCAATAAAAATGATAAAATGTAAATTGAATTTTATCATAATGAGTTTGCTTGAATTTCCTTTCTTCTGAGATCGCAGCAATGCACGATGGGTAAGCTAGTTTGTTTTATAAGGAAATGTCTTCTGAGTGATCTAGATATCATCATACCAAATTTAGTTTTATTTGACATTCTGACTGCAAAATACCTTTCTAGACAGTGTTAAACAGTGTTGAATAAAGGTACTTTAATTAAAACCATCTACCTTATTATTGTGTGTGTGTGTGTGTGTGTACACAATAATATTATTATTATAGTATTTTTTTTAAAACTTATTCATATATTATAAAAATAAAATAAAAATTTAAAGTATAAAAAGGATACAAAGTAAATCCAACAACTAAAATACACCAGAGAATACTTAAATTTACTTCTTCTTTTGGTGGAAGAATAAAATAATAAAATTCTGTGATAATATAAACAATAACAGCACATAATGCAAAATCAACCAGCCACTGATATTCAGAATAATATCTTAATTGAATCATGTCAACAGGTTTTATAACAACAGAATCTAGTTGCAAATCTAATTTCTTTGGCACAAGAAATTCTGAATCTTTTTCAGATCCTTCAAACTGTCTTAAAAGAAAAATAAAACAAGCATTGTTAGATTCATTAAAGAAATTTTTTAAAATATTCACTTAATTCAAATTTGAATTTTTTGAATATACAATAATTTCATTGTAGAAATAAAATTAGTTATAAATATGTCAATGATTACGAAAGTGGCTAAATCATTTTTTATTTGGAGATACATTTTTAATTTTTACAAATTCAAAAGTCAAGATATATTTTTTTATCTTAAAAATCAAATATTTTGTAAGGAAGGCACTTAAAGGGACTACCTGACAATGACCTGTCTTTTAATTAAAGACAAGAATACTCGCTTTTCCCACAAACATCAGGATGATGTGAGAGTTTTAGGATCATATGGGGATAGTGGTGCAGGAGACAGAGACTCACATAGATACCAGGGTGTCAAAGTACTCGTGGTTTAATAAAGTACAAAAATTTTGCTTACACCAAGATATAGTGAAGACCCATTGAGGTTGACACACACAAAGCATAGGGAAAGTTCATCCCTGGGTTTTCTGGAATAGATCTTGTATTGACCAACAACTCCAGCGATCTTGATGCAAACCTTGCCTGTGATCTGGATGTGAACCTTTGATGGTCTCAATGTCAACAACCCTGTGTTCTTTAAATTTCAGGCTTTTATATAATTTTTCACCTAAAATCTCAATTTCTGGTTGGTCTGAATTGGTATTCTCTCATATCTTCATTGGTCCTCAGCTTGTTGCTAAGGATGCAATTCAGGTCACTGGGGTTTTCAAACACCCCCATATGGACTGCACTCTCCAGGGTAGGTCACATTCCTTCACAAGCAATTGTCCCATAAATTACCGACAATGTGTTTTCTCCTGTCTTGAGAGAAGATGCAGCTGGGTTCGTATAGTTCCAGCTACAACCTCTCTCCAAGGAAGCATTTGCTTTTTCCACTTTGAACTGACTGTAAGATGACCACAAAAACTCCATTGGCTGTCACTCCTTTACTCTCCCTCACAATCTACAACTGGGAATGTGTCAATTAAATCTCGGAAATGTGACAATTAACCCCTTCTGAGCCGCGCTCGAGTGTGACTCGAGCAAGTTTTATAGCCTTACGTCGTTAAGGCCACTTTTGAAAAAATTATTTTTTTTGAATTTTTGGAATGTTTTTTAGGTCCCCAAATTTTTTCAGAATTTTTTGCGCACGCGAAAAAATTTTATCGCGATTTTAATGAGCCTTTGATAAGGCTCGATGAAGGCTTAATGTTTTTTTAATGGGAGTTTTTTATCAAAATTAATTTATCATTCTAAAGTTGTAGCGCACCGATTTTCCTTCGGTAAAGTTATTTAAAGCTGCTTTCTGATGTCAAAAACGACTTCCGATAGTTTTTTAATTTTTTTAATTAATAGATTTTATTATATAGAAGTTTAATTAATTAGGGGGGGTCGGAAATCTCAATAAAAATTATAATTTTTTAAAAATATTTAAAAATATACCGCCAGATTGAAGTCACCCTACTTCAAACCCTTGTCCTCCTGCGATGTCTATGAGAATGTCCCGGGAAATCCGACTCCAGCTGTGTTCAAGGTCATCCAGCTGTGTAAACAATAACTCATCGGTGTTAAATTTCGCAGAAACGACAGACAAAAAAACTTAGACTTTGAAGCTTTTTCTTCAAAATTAACGCATTTCTTTCGTTTTTTTTTCAGTTTTAAGTATTTTTTTATGCTTAATTAAAAATTCTAAAAAAATGGGCGGGTCAAAGGGGGTTAAATTGCTTTGACCCCCAGTTCTGTTTACAAGAATATGTCACTTATTTATTGATGTTAGTTCAGCGGTTTGTCTCCCATTGAAGGGTGAGGTCCCAACCTCACAATATTTATTCTTGCAAAATAGTTTTTTTTATGTAATTGTAAAACTTTAAAGTTTTTTGAAATAAATTTAATATTTTCTCCTTTTTGACTTAGGCCACTTTCATAATCAATGGCACAAATATAGTAATTAAGTAATGAAAATAGTATAACCTGTATTTTTCATTATTCTATTTTTTAATAATTTTGAATATTTTATATTTAGAAATAGCATTGTTTTTAATATTTTACATTTAATAATAAATATTAAAACAGCTACTGTACAATTATTATAAGTTAAAATACTACAATAAACATTAACCTTAATTTTTAGCATTTATAACTTATGTTTCTATTAGATATGTACAGTACAAAACGTCCCAAAAGTAAGGTATAGTAAAATCTTTTATAACAACTTAACAACAAGTTGCATTAAAAAATTAAATTAGCCATTTGAAAGGATACAGTCTAAATTATTTTTCTATATAGTTGCCATTCTTTTCTAAACATTTTTCCCAGCGAGAGACAAGAACAAAAAAAATTCCCTTCTGAAAAAATTCTCCACTGGGTGAATTAAAAAAGTCCATGACTGCACCATTATCTGAGAAGTATAAGCCATCAAGATGTTTCTTAAGAGGTCCAAATATTTAAAAATCAGATGATGCTAAGTCTACAGTATGTGTAAGATGCAAGGCTGTGGAGTCGCATAAAAATCTACCGACTCCAACTCCGACTTTTCCTTACCATCCGACTCCGGCTAAAACATCAAAACTCCACGACTCCGACTCCTCCTCCTACTCCACAGCCCTGGTAAGATAGTACATTTGCTGTATGATAATGCAACTCTCCATACTGTGGATCATACTTCAGACTGTAAAAAAAGTATGGATGGGAATTAATAGACCATTCTGCACATACTGTAGACTTCACACCCTCTGATTTTTGCCTTTTTGGACCTCTTAAGAAACATCTTGGTGGCTTAAGTGCAATTTACACAGGACACAAAGAGAATGAAATTTAAGTGAAGAAAGCTAACAAAGAAGCATGAGCATATGTAACTCCACAAAGTGAGTTTAAAATTTTCATGTCAGCTAATAGGAGTACACAACAGCTAGGTGCATTGGCAAAAAGCAAGCCAACACACCTACTGTTGCGTACTCTTGACTAGAGTTCTCAACTCACAGCAGGAGAAAAATTCAGTATTGAAAATAATACTAGTATACAGGGTGCATAGGAAAGTCCCTTTAACCGGAAAATTCTTGCAAACAGAGAGAGCTACAGCTATGCAAGTGAGGTAATGGTATAGTAAAGCAACTGCGCCTGACCCAATGCAAACGACAGCAGCGCCCCTAGTGGCAAAATATGGAAGATAGGTAGTGCAAATCGAAAACGAAAACAGATACAGCAAACTTTCCAATTAGAAAGTTTTAGAGCATCAATTACTTAGTACGAAACGACATGTCATTCACACGGATAAAATAAATTGTTACCTGTATACACAAAAGTGTCCAAAAGCGATGCACGCCATTTTGTGTAAATGTTTGAAAGGAATAGCCATAGGTATGAAGAAATATGCACAATTTATTGCATAAAATACGTACTTATGTCAATACAGTTTGATAACAATGGCGTGTATCGTGATCAATAGCGAACTTTTCAAACATACTCAACATTAATTAACTTGTTATCACTGTGTGACAGTTTGCCTTTCCATTGTTTTTTGTGTGATGTTATCAAACTGTATTGACGTAAGTATGTATTTTATGCAATAAATTGTGCGTATTTCTTCATACCTATGGCTATTCCTTTCAAACGTTTACACAAAATGGCATGCATTGCTTTCAAACATTTTTGGGTATACAGGTGACAATTTATCTTATCCGTGTGAACCACATGTCGTTTCGTACTAAGCAATTGATGCTCTAAAACTTTCTAATTGGAAAGTTTGCTGTATCTGTTTTCATTTTCGATTTGCACTGCCTAACTTCCAAATTTCGCCACTAGGGGCGCTGCTGTTGTTTGCATTGGGCCGGGCATAGTTGCTTTATTATACCGTTACCTCACTTGCACAGATGTAGTTCTCTCTGTTCGCAAGAATTTTCCGGTTAAAGGGACTTTCCTATGCATCCTGTATAATTTAATTTCAATCAGTTTACACAACATAGTAAACAAAAAGAATGTGATAACTGCAGTGCAAAACTACAACTTGCAACCATGTTTACCACCACTTGCAGTGTGAACAAAATTCACTTCACTCACATCATTTATTCTCTTCATTTTTGTGCCCTTTGTGTCCAGTGCAAATCGTATTTTACACTTCTCAAATGATGATGCAGTCATGGACATTTTCAAATCATTAATTGGAAAAGTTTTTCAGAATAGAATTATTGTCCTTGTCTCCCACAGAGAAATGTTTAGAAAAGAATAGAAACTATGTAAAAAAAATACCTTAGACCAGGGGTCAGCAACCTTTTGAGTCAGAAGAGCCAAAATTACAATTTACAAAATTTCAAAGTTTTTAAAGAGCCACAAATTTTTTCTTGCCAACAATAAATAGTACTCGCATAAATACAGTAGAGCATCGTTTATCCGAATCAATTGGGGACTGGGATGGCTCGGATAACTTATTTTTCGGATAACGAATCATGTACGAAAAAATATATTAATTTATCCCATGTTGAAATTTCTCTCCATTGCGTGTCACTTCGCGTTGAATTTTCGTCAATGTTAAGCCTAGCGAAGACTATTGTATTGTTAAAAATTATTTTTTTATTTTGTACAAACAAAATAAATTTATTGAAAAATATAAAAACAATAAAAAATTATACTTCAGATGTTAATTTAGTATCAAAAACGTAAAATATTTGAGTAGCCTGAGAAATAGCCGAAGATTGCAGCGCCACAGCACTAGCGAAAATTTAAATTTGCCGACTGGAATGCTTTCGGATAACGGAAGTTTCGGATAATCAGCTTTCGGATAAACGACGCTCTACTATAAAGTTTTTTGATTAAAAAAAAACTAATCTATTTATTCATATATAAGTAGTGTTTTTCACAACAAATTAGATAATAGAAACATCCGACGACGGCATCATTCGAGAGCTTCCAACGGACTGACAACAGTGACGACGCATGTCACGGGGGAGGGGTGCGGTGAAAAGTGAGTACAAGTGGCTGAGATATAGAATCAGTGCCTAATCCTCGTTGATCGATTCAGAACGTTTTTTAAATGTTTCGTTTTGATAAAATAAATAATATTTGCGTATGGAACTAAAGAGCCGCAGCTTCACATCCAAAGAGCCGCATGTGGCTCGCGAGCCACAGGTTGCCGACCCCTGCCTTAGACCAATGGTATTCAAGCATTTTAATTTTCCGCAACCCAAAATGGGGTCACGGAAAATTACCTTGGGTCACATAGATTGAATACCACTGCCTTAGACTATGTACTTTCAAATGGCTAATTTAATTTTTTAATGTAACTTGTTATTAAAATGTTATAAAAAATTATGCATTACTTTTGTGATATATTAACCATACAATATTTGAAAGTTTCATAAATAATTAGACAATATATTAAGAGATGTTAATACAAACTATCAAAATGTTTCAAATGTTTCTGCCATATAATTAACTTCTTTTCTCAATCAATATGAATTCATTTCACTAATATCCCAAAAATCTCCTTTTCATGTTCAATTTTCAGAAAAAGTATAAATTCAGAAAATCATGTTTTTGAATATACATATTCAAAGAGATGAAGAATACATCTGTTTATTTATTTATTAATAAATGTTTAATAATTGAGTTTAGCTATAGAAATACATCTATTTTGAATTATCCTTACTTTCATTAAAACACAAACATTGTAAATGAGTAAGTATTGGTTAAAATTATATTTACTTACAATTCAGATTTTCAAGAAACTTTATTTTTTAATATTAAAATTAGTCATTAGCAAAATCTTTATTGAATAAATATTTAGTCCTATTAATTTACTGTTAAGAAATAGTTTCATCTTAAATTTGTCTCTCTCTAAAAAGTTATTGCATTCAGAAGTTTTGGAAAAATATAGGTCTAGTTTTATATAGTGAAGTGACATTTTATATATTTTTAAATTTATCTCCTAAAAGTAAATATATCTTGATGATTTAATTAATCACTCAAATTAAATATAGCTTATCTGATAAAAAAAAATCAATTAAATTTATTAACTATTTAGTTATTAAATTAGAATATTAACTAAGAAACATACCTTATTAGTAATTACAAAAATTAATTAAGATAGAGAAACAAATATGCATATTTTTTTAATAAGAATTAATCATCATTCTAACAAGAATTTTAAAAACTTACCTATCTTTATTTTTTTTTCCTTTTCCTTTATTTGAAACAGGTTGAATTCCTGCTAACATTTTTAATTCTTCATCTGAAGGATGCAAATAGCGAACTAACCTATTAAAATACATTTGTAATTTTTTAATACAAAAATTTTTATTGAAATTAAATAAATTTACTAATAATAGCCAATAAAGACAATGAATGCAATATCCAAAAGGAAATACTGTAATAAGAATAGCTATAAACATCCACAACAAACCCAATATACAGCAACAAATCCCTCCAACTGCCGTATATCCTCGGGCTATAATTTGGCAATAATAATTATAACTTACTAATAAATTTGGCCCTAGGGGAATGTGTTAGGTGCCATCTTGTATTAAATTATAATTATTAAATTTAATTACTAAAAATTTAAGCTTTTAGTATTAAGATAGCATCTTATACAGGTAGCCCTTGATTTACGCCGGCTCAATTTACACCAATTCACAATAACGCTGCTGCACAATTTGCCGTTTCGCGGTGTAATTCCCTGATTTTCCCTAAGCTACACTGATTTTCATTTCAGTGATGATGTATTTACCAAGCCGTGACATTGTATATTTGGTAAAACAAAGATTTTTATTGAATATACAGTAATACCTCGACTTACGCGAACTCGGAGTTACACGATTTTCAAATCTTGTCGATTCATCTTTTGTTTGGCGCCACGCAACTCTTGATTATTCACTCCCCCATACTATTGTTCAGCTTACATGTTCAGACATGTCATGTGGAATCGACACATAGCTACAATTTATTTTGTGTTATTTATTTCTGTGTTTGTTATATCTACGGAGACTTGAGAGACTCTATGTGGCGTTTTCTTGTAACTGTGAACGAATCAAAAGACGAGATAAGATTAATGAGAAAATTTATTAGCTTACATACATCTGACTTGGATTTTACACAAATTGCAAAATTATACCTCGACTCACGCAAATTCGACTTATGCAGTTATCACTCGGTCCCATCTATCATGTAAGTTCGGGGTATTACTGTATTTATTTTTTATGTTTAATATTATTGGTTATGTATACATTTGCATTAAATTAATAATAAAATACTAAACGTTTAGGTACCCATGAGTCAAGATATTAAACTTAATAGTCCAATGAATGGCGTCCGAATCCATAGCACCAATGAATGTATCCTGTATCAGTTCATTCAGGAAAACACCTTACGACGCAGTAGCACTTTCAGTGATCACAAACTATCATTAGTGAGAAAAATCTACTTCTTGTTGACCAGACAATATCTACTTCTTGTCAGTCACACAATATCTATCTCTCCTTATCTACCTTCAATTTTCCTGCTCAATCTGACTTTATATATGTGCTATGGCGACCAGTGGTCGACCAATCAGTGTCTCCACTTGTCTGTAGCTCTATGTCGGATTAACGTATCCTTTCAACTATGGAAAGTTTGATGGATGAACTTTGTGAGTTAGACAATGATTGGGAGCGAATTGCAAATGTAAAAAGGAGCATCATATTTGACCATATTCCGAAATTCTCAATGAAAGAAAACAAAAATGTAAACAATTAAAGATGGATCCTTTTTTCCGAAAAATGTATGAGATCCGAAACTAAAACATTTTTTAATAAAAACATTTCACTTTATTTTATGATAAAATACGTTTTAAAAATTAAATTTATATGTATTTTGTATTATATTGTATTAATTAATAAACAAAATTATTTGCTTATTTTTCACTTATGTAGAACCTAACCCTATACCTCACTGTAAATATGGATTCATTTTATGCCAATTCGAATTGCGCTGGCTTTTGTAGGAACAGAACTGCAGCATAAACCGAGGGCTACCTGTATATATATATAAAAACAAGATGTACTTTTAAAAGTAAATTTTATATAAATAAAAATATTCATAATAAATTATAATCATCTTTTAAAATTACAAAAATATAATGTCATAATTTAATTAAACAACATATTACCTATTACACAACATCCAACGAGCAACAGAAAAATGAGAAGATAGCTTTTGTAGAACACTTGCCATAACCATTGTAACTACTAATTGTACTCCAAATAAAGCCTAAAACAAAAATATTTATAATATAAAAACAAATGAGCATTATTATATAAAATTAAATATGAAATACATATAAATAACAAGTATTTATTCTAACAAATAATAAATATATAATAATTTATTTTATCATCATATTCTTGTGAATGTGAAAAGGATGATAAGGAAGACTACAAGAATACATCTATTTGTATAAATCTTTAATATTTTGTATTTTTACAATTTTTTATAAAAATTCATTTGATCAGTGATACCAAATTAATATTAGATTACTTTATCATCATTAAATCTAATATACTTTTGTATTGGTAGTGCTCAACTTTCAGACAGTCTTGTTATTTTGTGCCTTTTTGTATTCCTAAATCACTAAATTCATATTATAAATTAAACTTTTACAATATTACAAATTTTAAAACTTTCATACCCTAATTAAAAGATTTCATAATGTTTTCTTTTTAGCTCTCTGAGAATGAAATTGTTTATATAATATTTGTTATAAATATGTATTTATTCTAAAGATTGAAATTTGCTTTAAATATTGCTTACAATTAAAAATCTTTAATTTCTAGTATCATAATGATTGTTGCACAGTGATTATGTCCTATTCATAATTGCTATATTGTTTCAAATAAGAAAAATTTTTCTATCAAATAAAATTACAATCAGAAGGAATGCAATATCCAAAAGAAAATACTGCAATAAGAATGTTGAAATTTTGTGCTATTGTATTTCATTTTGTAAAAATAGCAAAAAGTATGTGAAAAGATTTGTAATTTTGAAATAAAAAAAAAAAATGGTTTAATACAATTTCATGCAAACAAATTATTTTATTTTGAACAACAAATATTACAAATAATGACATTTTGTTTAATTTTAAAAATCAACATTCTATTAAAATTTAAAAAATTAATATCGAAATTTTTCCTCGTCTATTTAAAAATGTTTAAGTATATTACTTTAAAATTTATGTTGATAGATATAACAAAATGCAATAATTATATCTTTTCTACTTTCTAATGCAAAATGTCTACAATGAAACTTCATTTATAGTATTTTCTCATCACATAGTTTGTACTTAAATATTTTTAATTAATATATTTTAGTTTTTCCAATTTATTATTGTTAAAAAAGCATAAAATTTTAATTATTATAGTAATTCAAAAAATTTTATCATCATGCATTTAAAAACAGAAAAATCAGCTGAAGAACTATTCAAATTAATTTATAGGTAAATTATTATTAATACATTTCTAACAGCAATTATAAATAAAATTCCTCCAATTTTAATATTTCAACGTTTTTTACTTTTAAAATAAGACAACCTTAAAAATTATAATGAAATAAAAGATAAGTAATAAGAAAGTACAAATTATATTATTAAAAATAACTTTAAAAATATATTTTCTTGTATCCTATCATATATCTCCAATTAATCCTTATCTTCAATTAATGTTAAAATTTATGAATAAAGAAGAATTTTGATGGGCTTTTCTCACCTAAAACTATTTATAGGTGCTACTAAGTAATTGGGCTGCAATTTGGAAAAATTGTAGACCTATAAAATTCCCACTGTCACCCATCTGTCCATCTTTCCTTAATCCCTAGAATGGAATTAAATAGATAAAATCCAAGACCAGATATGGAAACCTTAGGAGCACAGGTCCCAATTGACTGTACATCAACTTACGGTTTGCACCAGAAGTCATGTTATTTCAATTCAAAAATTTCCCCTGAAAGCAGTTAATAGATTGGCACGACTGTATTTTAAAGAAAAAATATTATGTACAGGGACAAGATACTATTAATTTGTGATGGAGAAAATATATTTTAAATTAAATAAATTAAAAACATAATTAAAAATTGAAGCTTGGCATTGTGACAATCTCTCAATAAATAATCACTTGTTCTTTGTACAGCTCATTTCACACATCTTGACCAAGTTGTAAAAATTCAGAGTAGCAAGAACAAGTTCATTTACTTAGTGAATGGAACAGATTATGTCAAATATATAACAAAGTCACTGTGTGTTACTAAAAAAATATTCTTGAACTTTATAAAACTTATGGAGCTCCAACTAAGTAATGTGCACTGTTTGGCAAAGATATATGAAACAATCTATACTTCAATAATTCTTTAAACAACGAAACAAATTTAAACAACATATAAATGCAATTTGTATTCGGCAATAAATATTTCTTCTACAATGTATCCTACATAGAATTCTTAATATATAAACATGTAAATTTAAAGATTCATTCAAAATTGATGAAGGAAAAATACTAAAAATAATTGGTATTAGATTTTCACTATTTTTTAGAAGATCTGATTCCATATGTAAACACTAACTGAAAAGACAAATTTAATAACTATTAAAATAAGTTTAATCTTGCTTTTGAAGTCAAAATATTTATTAAATATTTTGAATTACATGGAAATTAGCTTCAGCAAATAAAACTTCAATAAAACAATAAATTGTTATAAACATTTTTCAAAATTTGCAGTAATAAATAATTCATTTTATAAAAACACATCAAACCATATTTTAATTATTAAAAATTATTAAATATATCTCTCTAATTTGTACATATATTCTACTAAATTTTACTATTAAACTTCTATTCTCATGTTTGTATTTGCTTCCACATGGTTAATAAAAGAATTAACCATAACCAGACTTCTAATGAAGGTCTATTTTCATAAGTATAGTAAAACCTCACTTTGTGACCACCTCAGTTATATGGCCACCCTCAAAATTTTCCTATAAAACTGCATAAGTTTTAATATACTGTAAATTAAACTCCATATTAGTGGCTATTTCAAATGCACTTAATTAGCTATGACAGGAGCGTCTTAAAGTGACTTGTTATATGACCAACAGAACAGGAAATCCCCAAATTCTTAAACATAGCATATTGCTTAAAGTATTTTAATTAAATAGAATTGAGTTTTGTTGTTATTGTTCTGAAATAATTTACTGAGATCCCTGACAGATAGATGATGTTCAATGAAATAAATCTATATTTACACTTGACAAACTAAATTTATTAATAGAATTTAGTAAAAAGACAGTCATATTTGTTCAATAATTTCATACAAAATCTGATTATATTTTATAAAATATAATATTTAAATAAAACCTTTAGTATCATTTCATAAACATATTGATTTTGTCTATAGGTTCTAAACAATTCCATTTAGTACTATATTATATAGTAGTTGAATGAACTTTATTGCAGTTTGCATTCACTATACAGGTACCGTGTATTTTCATAATCTATTATTCAGTGCTAATACATTATCCATATAAGTGTGAATTACTGTATATTGTAAAGGTTTTGCAGTATTATGTAAATTTATTATTATTTGTTTAATTTCATAATCTGTATTAAACTTTTAGAAGGATTCAATACTTTCCTCTCATTANTATAAAAACACATCAAACCATATTTTAATTATTAAAAATTATTAAATATATCTCTCTAATTTGTACATATATTCTACTAAATTTTACTATTAAACTTCTATTCTCATGTTTGTATTTGCTTCCACATGGTTAATAAAAGAATTAACCATAACCAGACTTCTAATGAAGGTCTATTTTCATAAGTATAGTAAAACCTCACTTTGTGACCACCTCAGTTATATGGCCACCCTCAAAATTTTCCTATAAAACTGCATAAGTTTTAATATACTGTAAATTAAACTCCATATTAGTGGCTATTTCAAATGCACTTAATTAGCTATGACAGGAGCGTCTTAAAGTGACTTGTTATATGACCAACAGAACAGGAAATCCCCAAATTCTTAAACATAGCATATTGCTTAAAGTATTTTAATTAAATAGAATTGAGTTTTGTTGTTATTGTTCTGAAATAATTTACTGAGATCCCTGACAGATAGATGATGTTCAATGAAATAAATCTATATTTACACTTGACAAACTAAATTTATTAATAGAATTTAGTAAAAAGACAGTCATATTTGTTCAATAATTTCATACAAAATCTGATTATATTTTGTAAAATATAATATTTAAATAAAACCTTTAGTATCATTTCATAAACATATTGATTTTGTCTATAGGTTCTAAACAATTCCATTTAGTACTATATTATATAGTAGTTGAATGAACTTTATTGCAGTTTGCATTCACTATACAGGTACCGTGTATTTTCATAATCTATTATTCAGTGCTAATACATTATCCATATAAGTGTGAATTACTGTATATTGTAAAGGTTTTGCAGTATTATGTAAATTTATTATTATTTGTTTAATTTCATAATCTGTATTAAACTTTTAGAAGGATTCAATACTTTCCTCTCATTATAGCTGTCTATGTCAATTTTGTACTAATTTCACCTAGGTGACCACCTCACTTATCTTTAGAGAAATTGTATACCCTGAAGATGCCATGCAAGTGAGGTTTTACTGTATTAACTTAATGAATTTGAGAAATAAATTTAATAAAAGTAAAGACAAAATTATAGTGTGTTTTCTAAAAAAAAAAAAAACTTAAAATATGCATAGCTTCACAATCTTAAAAAAATAATTAAAAAATAAAATAAACTGGCATTCAAATAAGAAGTATAAAATTACTCTTTGGTTTCCCAATAAAAACATTTAAAATATTTGAATCACTATGATTCTTAAACAAATTGAGTGCCTGGGTTTAAGAAAGTTTTTAACAATTCTAAAATTTATTCACAATTCATAAGTCAGTGCAAAATGAATAGACATTTTTCAATACTCTACATAAAACAAAAACAAAAACAAATATTCAGAAATTTAGTGATTTTTTTCAGACTGCAGATATGCATTTTATATATTAAATTAAGTTGCATTATATTGTTATCTAGTCTATAAATATAATTTCTAGACTAGATAACAATATAATGCAATTTAATATATAAAATGCATATACAGAAAAAAAGATACAAATTTTTATATTTGTACAAAAATAAAGTTTTAAAATAATTTAATACATATAACATATACTTATTCAGTAAAGATTTTACAGATATGAATTCTATTATATTTTATAACTATAAACATCCAATCAACAGCCAAATTAATCAGGCAGAAATAATCTATAAATATTAATTAGAAATTACACGATTAGAACAACTAGAGGTAAATGTTAGGTGCCATCTCTTAACAATAGTAGTAACTATAATTTAAATTTTAATTTAGAATAATCTGGAAGGAAAGAATTGGCACGGAGCAGGAGTCAAACCCACAACTTCCACTTACAATGAGGTGCACCAACCAGTTACACCAGCGAACCTCTGAGCAATTCCTCCCTTCCAGACACATTTAAACTTTAGATATAATCATCCAATGGTTACCTACAGTACCACCCGGGGATATATTTAGTGCCCACCGGCCTACTCCAACACAGTGCTCAGACACCCAGCATGATATATATATATATAAATATCCACAAGAACCCGATACATTAATAAACATCCAACCAACAACCAAATTAATCAGGCAGAAATAATGCTACAAATATTAATTAGAAATTACATGATTGGGTTTTTGCAGATGTTTATTTTTATAATTATATCTTATGTTCTAATATTGATTTCTATTAATACTTAATTTTGTATAATTATTAGAGTCACAGTAAAAGAAACTTTAACATAATCCATTATTTAAATCAAATAATTTGCATATACAGTGGTACCTCAGGATACAAAATTAATCCGTTCCGAAACTGAGATCATATCATAAAAATGTCGTAAGGTGGATCATCTTTTCCCATACGATTACATGTAAAACCAAATAATTCGTTTCAACGCGAAAAACATACTCAAATTAAAGCCAAGTAATACATTAAAAAAATAACTGTAGTAAGAAAAACAAATGAAAAATGCGAACTAATGTAACGTCATATGGTGAGTTTTTGTTCGTATCGTGGAGCAAAAATATGTTCGAATTTCATGTTGTATCCTGAAAATTTCGTATGCTAGGGCGTTCGTAACCTGAGGTACCACTGTACTGACATATAATATCGAATAATATAGTTTGTTATAAATATTTGTTGACTAACTAATTTATAAAACATTAAATAGACAATAAACAAAGTTTTAAACTCAATGTTAGAATTATTAACTGTTGCACCACCAGCCTAATTCAGTTCCCAAATTTTATTTGCTCAATAAATAGTAATGCCTTTCTCTTTGTTACTCTAGCAAGTACTAATCTACAGTAATAGTTTTGTCTTTAAGAAAATAATATATTGGAATGTGACCTGATGGTAATATTTCAGATATAATAAAGTAAAATTAAATTAAAACTATACTCAAAAGGAGAACAGGAGGACAATACAATCCAAAGGAGAATTCTCTTCCCAAATAGAGGATGGTTGCCAACCTTAATACATGTGTGTGTGTGTGTATATATATATATACTGTGTCACATACATCCATATAGATTGTGTGTGATACAGTATATAGTGTATGTGATAGATTTTGTATATGTTAAAAACATTAAAAATTCTGTTAATGGCAATTATAAACTGTGGAAGTTCATATCAATAAATTTGATCATACAATAAAACAATTAATTTTTGATAATAAGTAATAAAATATTGTACAAAATACTAACTATTTATAAACTAATAAACTGCATTAAAAGCAATTATAGTTTATGAAATATTCTATTTTAATCTAAAAAAAACTTTTGCTCATTTAACAATTGAAGTAATTTATGAGATATTTCTGTGGAATTTTCACGTTACAATTTTACATTTAACTAAAGTTCTATAATTGTACTAATTTTTTTTTAAATCACAAACTAATTAGCCTTTCAATTATCATATTTAGAATAACTATAATAATATAAATATATTTGCAAAAAATAAAGACGATTAATACCATTTTAAGTGTTTCTTTATCAGGTTATTAATTTAAAAACACGAGAATATTCTCGACTACACAAGTTAATTTTTTCCTATCAGGATGACGCCATATTGCAGATAGCACATGTCCCACATATCTTTAAACTTTTTTTATTTGGCTTTCTCCCTCATTTTATTTTCGTATAATTACAAAATTGTTAAAATAAATCTGAAATTATTTTAAATTTTTATAATTTCTGATAAAAATAAATGATAAATTTTTAAAAAAATTGTAAAAATTATTTCTTAAAAAATCAAATTAATTAAACATTTTTCGATAAAAGATTAATTTTTAAGACAAAAATTAGAGAAATAATTTATAAAAATATTTTTTCTTTTAATATTCTGCTTGTACTTTTATTTTTAACGTCTTCGTTTGATTATTTGGTCACATTGATAATTCAATCATATTGATCGATCGAATTTTTTCATCTGTAACCACCAAAGAATAAAGTGACCAGATGTCCCAAATTAAGCGAGTCAATCCCAATTTTTAATATGCTGTCCTGATTTTTAAACTGAAAAATATCCCACTCTTGGACTGTTTCATAATTATATTCAAAAATAATCTTCTAAAACTCTTTTCGTCTTGTGCGCACTTTGAGGGCCCCTTTCGGCAAGCCCATTATGGATTCAACAGGCTCACAATAGGTCCGCCAAATAGTGATGGAGAGGCCTGACACCCCGAAAAATTCTCGGGGTTTTTCTATCCGTCTAGATTTTATTTCGGATCCCTCAGAGCGGTAGGCTACCGCCATATTCTTAATAAAATCTCATAACAGCCGGGAAAGTTACACAACTCATTTCTGTGTTTTTTGAGTCTTCCTGTTCCCAAAATTTTTGTGTATACCGTCTCTTTGCTTCAATAAACTCATTCTCAGCAACCTTTAATTGGACATAGATATTTCAGGTGTATGTAAATGCATTGTAATCATGGGGTGGACCTATACAATCTCGAAAAACGTATTCAAAAATATATAATTAAATCAGTACTATCATATGTAAGCGATGGGCACGTTGCTTCATAAAGTAGTTTTAATACAGCTGGATGAACTAGCCAATGATATGGCATGTTTCATTAATGTCATTTTTCCTTCTTTTTTGAGATTCTTCTAAACTTTCTCCAGTATGCTGTCTTTTAGCAGATTTCCTACTCTTCAGAAGTATTTGTTTTTTAGAAACACTTCAAAAACTGAGGGAATTACATTTGGCAATTTTTTTTTGTGCTAATATAGTAATCCTCTTTAAAATGTTTACTGAAAATTGCAGTTCTATGATTTGGGGTCCTACACTCTTGCTTTGTCTAGAAGTCATTACAATCCATTTTCTTTTACGTTTATTAATTATACACTATTCAAAAGTGTAATTACAACACCGCAAAGGAATACATATAGCCATATGTACATTGCAGGACCAGTAGAAGTAAGAGACATATGCAAATGCTTAAAAGAACAAACAAAGCTATGCAACACATATCTGTTTATTCAGTAACGAAAGTGGTCCCCATGGGCAGCTATGCAGGCTGCTATATGGAAAGGGATACTATCAATGAGGTGATTAATGGTTGTCTGGGGTATCCCTTGCCAAGCTGCATCCACTGTAGTGCATATGTTGTCTATGATCAAGGTCTTAGATTATAAGGTTGCCTCATAGAGAAGAAACGCTTCTTATTGGTTGCTTATTTGACGTCACTCATAGTCGAAAACGAAACATCTTACTATGAACTTATGGTAAAAACATTACCGATCAGAGGCTCGTAGCTTTAATTACACGCTAATATTTTATTAATTACGATTCTTACTTAATTAAATAAAAATAAAAATTGATTATAAATAAGAAAACTCCGGAATATTGAGCAAATCTTCGTAATTTTTACATGTAAAGTTGAAATTAAAATGCGTTTTTCTACTTTATAAATGAAATCTATTTTATCTATTTTATGATTTTATAACAACAATAGTTTCTTAAAAAGATTAATTTTGGTAAATTCTACGTATGTGATTTATATATAAGTAAATTAATTTAATTTCTATCGTCAAACTACTTTTTTTTTAACTAAAAATAATATTGGTCTATTTTTTAATTTTTAATACTCATGTACCGAAAACGATATTATTGATACAGTAGAGTTTCGAAAACTCGGCACTCAATAACCCGGCACTCCGGATAACTCGGCCACACCCTGGCAGGGCAAAAAAATCCTTAGTTAATTAATTTTCATTATAGACAGCTTTATGTCTCATAAAGTATTTTTCTGAGGTCTGTCTTATCAGGTAAATTACTGTACACAGTGTATTTATTAATTTTCATTTTCATGTAGTAAAGGCTCTATGCCTTCATAAAGGACGTACTTTTCCTTTGTTTAAGGGTATTTGGGCAGTTTATTCTCTGTTGTATTCTCAAGTAAACAATACATACAAGTACAGTACAGTATTTTCTGAGGAAACACTCGTACTTATTTTTTTTAACCCCATTCCCGATAACCCGGCATTTTCACAAACTCGGCCACCCTT